ATTATCGTGATGTATACCCCAGAGTGGTGTGGCTTGGGATAAAAGTCACGAGAGTATGAAAAAAGGTTTTTTCTTTTGAGGCCTAGAAACTCTTTACACTTATCTTAAAACACTTGAGGATAATTGGACCCAAGTATCACTGACTAATAATGGACAACTAAATCAGGGTAATAGCCAGTCAGATATCTATAACTTATGCCATATCACAGTGAATTTATTCTTAATGTGTTTTGATTTATTCTGTTATAGAAAGAAATAATAAAAGCCTATATTCTAATTCTAGCTATATCAGTTACTACTAGCTCTATTCACTGAGCCAAATCACTTCTGGCTAGTTGTTCTTTATAAAGAATACTTCTGCTTATTTGAGCAATGGAATGTGATATTTACTATGAATTTTTTTATAGATACTCTTTATCAAGTTAAGATTTTACTTACCTTCCATTTCTTGTTAAGTGTATTATAATGAATGAATTTTGTCAAATGATTTTTTTTGTTTCTATTGAGATTGTAATTTTATTTATTTTCTTTATTTTATTAAGGCAATAAATTTACATTAATAGCTTTTCTAATCATAAACCAACCTGGGGTTATTGGGATAAAGACTAGTCATGATGTATTTTTAAAGCATTGCTATATTTATTAATTAATCACTTATGATATTGAAAATAAGTTTTTAATTGACTTGACCTTTAATTTCCCTTTTCTTGACCTTATACTATTTCTATATCAATCTTATACTAGGAATGACATTTTAGAAATTCCTCTCTTTTTACATTTCCTAGAAAAAATTTATTCTGGTAGCTATTTTATGAAAATTTATAAAAGTCAATACAGTCATGCTGGTCAGTACCATAAGCTGGGCTTTCAGGCTGCCCAGGGTCACTGTTTGGGATCCCAGGTCTGGCAGAGCTAGTGGCCATGAGCCACAGCAGGGCAAGGTTGCTGGCGTGGCTCTCTGCCTCAGTGGGGCTGTGGATGGGCTCCAGAGTTGGCCACAGCCTCTGTTTGGGCAACCTAGTGAGGCAGAGGTTGAAGACTATGTTCAATAGTAGGGTAGTGCTGCTAGTTTGGCTTTCTGTCTGGAGAGGACTATAGAATTAGCTCTGTGGCTGTCTTGGGTCCCTGGCTAGGTTTCCTTCTTAGATTGGGCTGAGAGCTATGCTTTGCTGTTGGGTGAAGCTGTTGCCTGGCTTTCCTGTTTTAGCAGGCATAGGATGTGCTGTGTAGTAGCCACATGGCATCTTTGGCCAGTTACTAGCTTCCCTACTTGTTGGGCTGTAGGTTGTGCTACATGGTTGCCTTGCATCTCAGGCCAGGCTTCCTCCTTCAGTGGGGCTAGAGGCTATGCTCTTTCAACAAGACAGCCTTCTGGCAGGTGACCCAAACCGGGCAGAATTGCCTGTTAAACTTCTTATGGGGCCACTGGCTCAGCTATGCAAATGATCAGAGCCTCTAATTGGAATCTCCTCCGAGGCCCCAAGTACAGGAACACAGTTTGCCAAGATCCTGTACTTGTGAGCTCCTCCCCCTTCTCTATCTCTAGCTGACTTTCCCAGTTATCTCCAACTTACTTAGTGGGAGGCATACTTAGTGGGCCTCCCAGGAATCATCCAGAATGCTAGGGAAGCTTGATGACCAGCTTGCGCTCTCCTTTCCCACCGGAGAAACTGCAGGCCCAGGGGACCTCCTCCATGCAGCACTGCACTGACCTGAGGGAGGAGCAATGTGGGCAAAGTGAAGCTGCTACTTCTTCCCTTCGTAAAGCTGTTTTCCTCCGGTTTTGTAGTCAAGGGATTGCTTTAGCCTTGCCCCTGTGTGCTGGGATCTTTACAAAGGTATTTTGTCTATGAATAGTTACTAGTTGCTCTTCCCCTGATAGGGAACCACCTATTTTGCCATCTATCTGACATCAGTTTCCTGGTTCAACTTTTATCAAACTATTGTGCCTAGATTTTCAGATATTTCAGGCATAATGGTATGATCTCTGTTATTGCATCTAGGTCAGAAGATGCTCTATATGTTTTTTTGTAGTGAGTATGATTAAAAAAAAACAAAAATAAATGTAATTCTCTAAATATTCACATAGAGACTGTTCTTACAGATTCACTCTTCTAACTGGGGTTTTGGAAAAAATGGTCCTATGCATTTTTTTTACATTGAAATTTCCATTATTTTTTTAATCTATAGTTTATCCATATTTAGATTCGATTATTGTATATAATAATGTAATATAAATCACTGATGCATTTATGTTTTTTTAGAATTAGATTATATTTAGTACTTAATGGAACACTGCTGAAAAGATCTTATACTATTTTTCATGCTTGTTTTCCCCTCTTATTCCACCAATATATGAAGAAATGAGATAAAAAGGAGAACATAGACATTTCTATTTGCCTGAAGTTTTGTATCACTAATTTGTGTTCTGGAAAAAAGGGCATCCTTGTCCTATGGCATATTGCTGCCAAAATAAATTTCCAGAGTTAATAGTTTATTCTGTTTTAAAATTACTTCTTAGAAACCAGTCATCTAATCCAGAAAGGAGTAAGAGCCAAGTTTTAAAAACTATATACTAGGAAATGCCTCATTTAAAAATGTATACATATTTGTGCTCACAAATTGGGTAATTGTGCACCTAACAACTCTATTCATTTTATCATTATTCACTTTGTGTGTATACAAATGAAGGCTTTTTAAGTCAGGTTCTGTGGCTTGGGACTCTCATGATTGGGACTTGGTTACATTTTATGTTTCTGTTCAGTGCTAATGCATGTCGTTTCATGGAAAATAATAGAATACCTTATTTACTCTGGTATAACTATATCAAATGGTTCTTTACTTAACATGTATTCTGAAATGGTATAATCAGTGGTTGGCAAACTCATTAGTCAACAGAGTGGCAAACCGCGGCTTACGAGCCACAGTTTGCCGACCACTGGATAAGTAATTAAGAGTTAATTTAGCTTCATCTGTTTTATAAAACATGTTAGAAAAGCTATATAAAAATCTGTATTGGAATCTTTGTATCAGAGGACTAAGTTGACATCTGAAGGTCTGCCAGGAAAAATTATGTTTCCTTAAAATTATTGTGATGGTTAAAATAGATATCCTAGACATTTTGAGATTACAGCTCATCTTTAAATGACTGAGCCCAGATACAGTAGTCCTGATTAAGTTTATTGACACTGTGCTAAGTAAATAAGTTTTAGAAGAAATATTAGTCATTATTTAATCTAAACAATAATCTTGCAAAACTACACACACACACACACACACACACACACACACACACACACACACACACACGTTAGCCCTGCGCATGAATTCATGTGCCAGTAGTTCACCAGTAGCTCTCTGCTCACTGTCCTGCTGTCCTATAGCTCCCCCGTGCCTCCACCCACCTTGTCCCTGCCATAGCTTGCTGCCCTGCCCACTCCTGTAGCTCTCCACTGCCCGCTTGTAGCTCACTGCCCCATCCTCCTGCAGATCCATGATCTGGTTGTTACACATTGGTCGTGCCACTTCACGGAGTAATGACCATTTGCATATTTTTGTTGTTACTTCATAATTGTTATGAATCGTAATGTAAATACCTGTGTTTTCTGATGGTTTTAGGTGACCCTGCTAGCAGTTCTCAACCTGTGGGTCGTGAACTGCTGCTGTAGAGCCTAAAACCATCAGAAAACACAGATATTTACATTAGGATTCATTAACAGTAGCAAAATTACAGTTATGAAGTAGCAACGAAAATAATTTTATGGCTGGGGGTCACCACAACACGAGGAACTGTATTAAAGGGTCACGGCATTAGAAAGGTTGAGAACCACTGGTCTAGAGAAACTCTAGGGGAGAATGTGTTTCCTTGACTTTTCTAGCTTCTAAAGGTGCATTTTTTGCATTTGTTGCTCATGACCCCTTTCTCTATTTTTCAATGCTAATAGCTACACTAACTATTCCTTTTTTGTAGTAAACTCTTCATCTGTGCTCATAAATTGGGTAATTGTACACCTAACACTTGTAATTACAACTTCATGATCCTTCCCTAGACCTCAAGTCAAAGAATTGAGAGGATCAGCATTTCCAACACTTCGAGATAGGAACACTTATGATTACAATTTTGGCAAGACCGTCTTTCCACCTGAAGATCCTTAACTTAGGTTATACATTTAAATTTTCTTTTGCCATATATAAGAAACCTTCCCAGGAATATCTTTTATGGCCCAAATGGAGGACAAAATACTGCCAAAAGTCACATAAAACAAAACATGTTAGAAACCAGTACAGTTGGGAAAGAAGTTAAGTATTATGGATGGATTGATAATATAAACGAGATCCTGGAGTTCCTCCACTGCTTTCCAAAATTTTGTACTGTTGACTGATATTTCTTTTTTGTTTATTTCTGATACAAACGGGAGATTAATCTTTAATTTTTTCTGATATACTTCATCTTCTACTCTTGTCTTACCCTATAAAACCAATATTTATTAATATAAGGTCATGTGTTCATGTATTGGAGCACAGTTTTACACAGCCTGGTATTAACTTAATTTAGAAATAATTTACATTGATATTTGAACATGGACACATGTTCAGATATGTACTTTCATATTTCCTTTAAACCTTTTCGTCATCCTCTCCTTCACCTATGTTATTCTCAACAACAATGAAGGATTGACCACTTTGCCACTGATGGCAAAGTTTTTCTAAGCAATATGATGAGAGTTTTTTTTACGAGAGAGTTCTAAAGGTTTCTGAAGTCCTAGGAGATCTCAGAGCTAGATTATTTTTTGCTGTTATTGTTCAGTATCCTTCCAATGTTTACATTTTATTGTATACCTTTGGAGAGAAAATTTTACTTGGTAATTCTAATATATTATATGACTCAGTGACTTCTACAGTTTCCAATAAGTATGTTTTAACATGTAACTTTATTAAGCATGTGTTTTGTTGCATAATTTGTAAGGTAGATGTTTATATTTTTCTTTCCTGAACTACAGGATACCAGAAGGCCCCATTGATCAGGGGCCGGTTTCCGGAAGGATTCGTGCTTTAGAAGAGCAGCTTGTGAAGGCCAAAGAACAAATTGAAAATTATAAGAAACAAACTAGAAATGGTAGGTGATTATACAGTATATTTCTCTCCTTAGTATATTGATATTAGCACCAATAATTAAACACTTCTTTCATCAAAAATATTAGAAATGCTGATCCTCTCAATTCTTTGACTACTGGTCTAGGGAAGGATCATGAAATTCTGAGGAGGAGGATTGAAAATGGAGCTAAAGAGCTTTGGTTTTTTCTACAAAGTGAATTGAAGAAATTAAAGAATTTAGAAGGAAATGAACTCCAAAGACATGTGGATGAATTTCTGTCAGATTTGGGGGATCATGAAAGGTAACCTTTTTACTTTACATTTCATTTGGGCTTTAGTAAAGATTATAATCTAAGAATGGGAAGCTGGAACTTTTAGTAATTTCTCTGTTGAATGGTAAATGATACCTACCATAGTTAGGAATAGGAGAATACCCGAGATCTCAGAGGATAATAATTGCCAGATGTAGTTCATCAACTAAAAATATATCACGGAATAATATTATTTAAAACATATTTCTAATCTGGCCCATTGTGACTCAGTGGTTGAACATTGACCCATTTACCAGGAGGTCAAGGTTCAATTCCCGGTCAGAGCACATTCCCGAGTAGTTGGCTCAATCCCCCCCTAGAGGGTGTGCAGGAGAAAACCAATCAGTGATTCTCTCTCCTTATTGATGTTTCTATCTCTTTCCTTCTCTCTTCCACTGTCTGAAATCAATAAAAATATATTTAAAAAGTCAATAAATAAAACATTTCTAGAAATCTCTATACTCTAAGTAAATTCTGAAGTTAGTGGTATCAGCCAACAATACTTTGGAAATCTTCCTGTAAATTTCCTTCATATACAATCTATATTTGAAGTGGAGTCTGCAGTTTTATATTATAACTAGAGGCCTGGTGCACAAAATTCATGCATGGGGTTGGGGTGCGGAGTATCCCTCAGCCCAGCCTGCGTACTCTCTAATCTGGGATCCCTAGAGGCATGTCCCAACTGTCTGTGTAGGCCTGATCCTGCCAGGATGGGACCTACAAGGTTAGTCAGACATCCCTCTCACAATCCACAGACTGCTGGCTCCCAACTGCTCACCTGCCTGCTTTCCTGATCGCCCCTGACCGCTTCTGCCTGCCAGCCCAATTGCCCCTAACTGCCCTCCCCTGCAGGCTTGGTCACCCCTAACTGCCCTCCTCTACAGGTCTGGTCACCCCTAACTGCCCTCCCCTGCAGGCCTGGTTCCTCCCAACTGCCCTTCCCTACAGGCCTGGTTGTTCCCAACTTCCCTCCTCTGCCAGCCTGATCACCCACAACTGCCCTCCCTTGCAGGCCTGGTCCCTCCCAACTGCCTTCTCCTGCTGCCCCTGCTGGCCACCTTGTGGTGCCATCTTATGTCCAAATGGGGGCAGCCATCTTTGACCACATGTGGACAGCCATCTTGTGTGTTGGAGTAATGGTCAATTTGCATATTACTCTTTTATTAGATAGGATAATTGAAACTTTGTAGCCTTGAGCAGAGGCCAGTGCCAGTCAGAGCTCGGGGAGGGGGGAAGCTTGAGTTCCTCCATCACCAGGGAAACCCAAGCCTCCTGCTCTCTCCAACTCCGTGGCCGCCGCCCCCATCTTTGTTGGGATTTATTTATATTCTATAATTGAAACTTTCTAGCCTTGAGTGGATGCCAGGGCTGGCCAGGGTGGGTAGGAGCCTCCTGCTTGCTCCAACTTTGTGGCTGCCGCCATATTTGTTGGGTTAATTTGCATACTCGCTCCTGATTGGCTGGTGTGCATGGCTTGTGGGCATAGTGGAGGTACAGTCAATTTGCATGTTTCTCTTTTATTAGATAGGATATATTATAACTCAGAGACTGGCAATTACTACTGTTTCTAATTTGGACATTAAAAACATTAAAATAGCCTCTTTAAAGGGTTTCTAATTAAAGATGAACAGGTTTTTTTTTTTTATAAAAGGCATCATTCTGTTCCATTTAATTGCTAGAAAGAAGAACCTGAAATCTGCCTAATTCTTCTGTTTGCACTTTTTTGAAAATATGCAGTTTATATTACACTAGAGGCCTGGTGTGTGAAAATTCATGCACTGAAGGGGGTGTCCCTCATCCTGGCCTGCCCCCCTCACAGTCCAGGAGCCCTCAGTGATCAGGGGAAGTCAAGGCCCTATCACACCTCTGCTGCTGCCACTGCGGGCAGCGCAAGCCTTAGCTGGCCCTCATTAACTGAGTCTCGGGTGGCCCTGGGTGGCTGGGCAACTGCCTTTTGAGGCTTCCCTGTGCCTCGGGCTAGCTCTAGGTGGCTGGGAAGCTGCCATCTGAGGCTTGCCTGTGCCTTGGGCCATCCCTGGATGGCAGGGGGGCTGAGGGGACCAGGGGACTCTGGTGGCAGGCGCATGGAGTGACTGGGCCCACCCAGAGGTGGGCCCAGCCTTGCCGTGAGCCTGTTGCCCTGGTGGGGCTGGGGTGACTGGGTGCTGCCATCTAGTGACTGTGGGCACCACCATCTTTGAGGGTGTAGCAGTCAGTTAGCTACACCCTCCTTATTGGCTGTGAGTACCACCATCTTTGAGGGTAGGCAGTCAATTAGCAAAGTCCCTCCTTCTTGGCTGTGGGTGCCGCCATCTTTGTGACAGCATGAGGGCCAATTAGCATATTCCCTCTTTATTAGATAGGATAGAAAGAAAACATTTTGTTTGCTGGTGTGTTTATGCAGAGCAAAATGTATCTGAGAATCATTATAAATACAGTGAAAGCTGTCCTTAGCCCTATTATATTTATGTCTATATTCCCAGTAGGATTGTAATGGCAATTACTGTCTCATTAGTGAACAATAAATGAAAAATTGTTCTATTAACACAACCTACTACTGTGAAGAGGAAAAAAGTTATTCTATAACAATAGGATTCATATATATTAACATCATTAGCAATATTGCAGTGATTTTGAAATACTTATCTGCTGTTTCATTTAAGTGAAATTAAATAAAGTCTATCAGTTTATCAGAATCATTTTAACATTAATGAATCTACAGAAGTAAGACAGTTTGAAATCAAGGGACATTGAATTATTAAGCCATTGGACAGACCCTTTGAAATTTTTAGCCTCGTTTGCAATCAAGTACTACTACTTGTGTTAGACCTTATTCTGGCTTTAATGCTTTTCTACCTTCAAGCTAATTCTGAGTACCAAGATTTTGTTAATTGGAGCTGTGTGTTTGCATGCTTTACTTATTGCAGTTTTATAGGGAAATCCAACTCTGAAGAAGATTTGAGTTGGGTAGACTATGGTACTTAAAGGAGAATTTTGACGGTTGACTTCTGATGAAATGTTTAAAGCTTGGGTGATTTAATTAAATTACTTGAGAATTTAATTTTTATGTCTTTTCTAAATCAAAGTAATTACTTAAAGAATTATTTTGTACATATATTTTGTTACCAAATGTAGAAACACCATACAAATGAAAAACATTAGGCCCTGGATACTTAATGTATGGTAAATCAATGTTACATTTTTGTAAATTGAATTATGATTCCTGACACTACCTTTTAGTAAATGTTAAATAATAACATTGAACTAGATTAAGTATTATAATACTAGAGGCCCGATGCATGAAAGTTTGTGCAAGAGCCTTCCTTCCCTCGGCTGCCAGCACTGGCTTCCCGCTGGTGCCGGGACCTGTGCTGCTTCCCTCCTCGCAGGCACCAGGGACCCGGGTTGGCTTCCCTTAGGCCGGCTGCAGGCACCCAGGACCTGGGCTGGCTTCCCTCCTGCCCTGGCTTCGTCAGGAAGGACATCCTGAATGATGTCTGATCTAATTAGCATATTGCCCTTTTATTTTATAGATTTCGCAGAAAATAAAAATGGAAAGATACTCAACTACTAAGACCAATTTCTTTTACTGTCATTTGCAAAAATTATAATGAACTTGGGATACAACTTCACAGAGTAGTAATTTAATTCTAGGCAGCCAGATTAGAATGCAATGGCACAAATAATAAGCAAAGAACCATCAAACACTAGAGAAATAACCTTTAATGAATGTTCAAGTACAGAAGATTTGTAATAGATAGATTATGCCATTTTACTGATAATTTTCAGGGTTTTTATGTGTAAGAATTAAGACAGACATTTATGTTTGTCTCTGATGATTTACACAAAAATCTTTATTTCATTTTTATACTTGCCCAAAAGATAGTGTCTAGGTTGTCTCTGGACTGAAAGCCTATGTCCTCTGAGAAATCGAGGTTAAGTTTGTTCAGATTTCTCTATGAATCACTCCTCATTATTTTGTTCAAAAAGACATCAGTTATAGGGGGAAAACTTAATGGCTTTTGTTTCTTCAGAACGGGTTCTTTCTTTCTTTGGACTTTGTCTGATAGAAACACTGATTCTCTTTTTTTCCCTCTATAAATCTACTTTATTGCAGCATAATTTATGTATGATAAAAATGTGCATATTTTAGTCTATAGTTCTATTAGTTTTGACAAATGTTCAGTTTTGGAATCACCGTCCTAGTCAAGATTCAGAACATTGCTACTGCCCCAAGAAATTTCATCATGCTCCTTTGTAATCAGCACCTCCCCATCCCCACCAGTCCCTGGCAGTAACCAAATCTGTTTCCTGTCCCTATAATGTTGCCTTTTAAAAATTTTATATAAATGTAGCCGAAATTGGTTTGGCTCAGTGGTAGAGCGTCGGCCTGCGGACTGCAAGGTCCCGGGTTCGATTCCGGTCAAGGGCATGTACCTTGGCTGCGGGCACATCCCCGGTAGGGGGTGTACAAGAGGCAGCTGGTCGATGTTTCTCTCTCATGGATGTTTCTAGCTCTCTATCCTTCTTCCTTCCTCTCTGTAAAAATCAATAAAATATATTTAAAAAAAATTTTTTTATATAAATACAATCATACACTATGTAGTTTTTGAGTGTGGTTTCTTTCACTTGGCATAATGCATTTGATATTCATGCATGTTGTTTTTGTGTATTGTTAGTACATTTTTTTATTGTTAAGTAATATTCCATTGTATGGATATATCACAGCATAACCATTTACCAGTTGAAGGGCATTTGGGTTGTTTTCCATTTTTTTGTGTAATTATGAGTACAGCCACTGTAAACAATACCACACATATTTTTCTGGAAACATGTTTTCATTTATTTTGGGTTAATATCTAGGAGTGGGCTTGATTGGTTGTAACTTGAATATATGTTTAATTTTATAAGATACTGCTAAATTGTTTTCCAAAGTGATGGCACTATTTTGCAGTCACCAGCAATGTTTAAGAGTATCAGTTGCTCTGTAT